TCTTCTGAAGTGCTTGCCTCCCTCATGATTTGACATTCTTCTACTTCATGGTTGAGACTCGAACATCAATCACAAACTATAATCGAGCTCTTTCCTTGCTTTCGGTCATGTAAGATTACGTAGATAAACTCATCAATATTTGCTTTAAGTGGAGGATTTGCTTCAATGGAATGCACTCCCCTCTATCGAATCTTCCTGCCACACCTAGTCATACCCCGGTCATAGCCCTTTGTGGCCATTTCTTCAATAGTGCAGTCATTTTAGGTGAAGTCTTGTTGAGCATATTCCCTTGGAATGAAGAATCAATGAGTGTCTGGTCTTCTTGGAAGAGACCATTGTAGAAGGTCTCAATTCGGATTGTCTCTCCAAAAGCATGGTTTGTACATTGGAGAAAGATATTGGAATAACACTCCTTCACATCCCTTAAAGTCTCGTCATCCTCTTGAGCAAAGTGGGTTATCTTCTTTCGATAGTCCGTCGTCTTGGAAGGCGAGAAATACTGATTCATGAACTTGGTCAACAAGTCGTCCTAAGATCTGAATGAGAGTGGAGGCCTATTGTTCAACCTACTTCGCGCCTTGTTGCTTAGTGAGTAGGGAAAGAGTCTCAACCTACTAGCATCTTGAGGCACTCCGTTAATTTTCAAGCCATCCTTCAACTCAAAGAATCTATTGATATCCGCCGATGAGGACTTGTCTTCAAGACCATGGTATTCAATGTTGCATCTGGGTCATGGTGATGATGCCAGTCTTGATATCGAAGTTATTGGCTGCCACAAGTGGATGTAGAATGCTCAATTGGATGTCTGCCACCCATGAAGTCATATAATATCCCATAGTCCTCACTTCATCATCTCCTTGTGCAGCCTCGGTCGCCATCACAAGGTCTTCAACTTCAACCTCTTATTCAAACTCAAATTCCTCATCAAATCCAACTTCTTCCTCAACTTCAACTTCGGGTTCAACGTAAGGTTGACCCGAACTACGAGCCTTTCTCTTGCTTCCTTTAACTCCCTCTCTTGAGCTAGAAGTTGGAGAGAGTGATTGATGTTGTCATCTAGCGGTGCTAAAGGTGTCGGGTTACTTTGTGTCATACACCTCCTGCACAAAGTTTACACAACACAAACGAAAGCCAAAAAAGCAAGATCCAAACTCAAAATGCAATAAAAATAAAATCTAGATTAACAGTAAAAAACATTTTATGAATAATAAACTTTGTTCCTCGGCAATGACGCCAAAAAACAACTTGGCTCACTACCACTACAACACTATCCCAACTATAGACCAAGTGCAACCTATATTCGAGAGTAGGATAGGATAAGTATTACAATATCAACCCGGGCGGACTATCTATCCGTACTTCAGCCGTTTACACGTTATCTAGTGATCACATTGTGGTTAAAACTAATGAAACTAAACAAGAAAGCAAAGTAAACGTTGGTGTATTCAAATGAGAAAGGATCACTCGTACAATATTCTCTGTAGTTCATGTTGAGATACAATTGTGACACTATAATGCGATAGGTAAATGTTCATATACTATTAGGAGCGCTAAAGTATCTAGGCCCCTCTATTCGAGTGCATCCTATCCCGCTCAATTGATCTAAGTGGAGGGACATACCTTATACCTGTAAAAGACAAGGCAATCAATTTTACTACCTCGAGTTAAACCCCGAACAACACAAAGTAACTAATCACTCTAAATCATGGCACTCTATGGTAATTGAGGATTTACCCGAATTGCCTAAGGGGATCTTCTTCCTACGTCAATTTGCCCAAAAAATGGGAAGATTTGATAAAGAACACCCAATTTCAAGAAAATACCTCAATCACATATATAAATCACAATACACATTCATAATAGAGTTCATAACCTACAATTTACAACATATTAAACTAGAATTCCTATCATCCAAGTGACAAGGAGGACTACTCCACAGCTAGAAGAGAAATACCAACCAAGATAGAGGAAAACCCATAGCAATGTGATTCTCCCCCTTCCTAGATGCTTGAGTTTATCCATTGAGTAGAAATATTCCCACCAATTTCCTTTAGTAGGTCAATTTCACCTCCTTTCCTTCCTTGCTCGAAGCTTTCCTCTATGCTTGAAGAAGAACCCTTCATTCCCTCTCTAGAACTCCCTTTTTTAAATTCACCTTTTCTATAGATCCCTATTTCTCTCATCACGATCTAAGAACACCCATGAATTCGGTAGTGACACCGTGATCCCGGCGCAAAATGTGTCGCTTCACTCACAAACTTCACAGGTTGCTTGCTGGCTTCGCGGTTTGGAGACCGTGATACCTACAACGCTCGTGAGCCACGCTAATGTTCCTAAAAGTGTGCAAAATTCACAGTTTACTTTTCCACTACCGTGATCCTCGCACTTTTGTCCACTTTGTTCCCTTTTCACCCTCTTTTGTCTGACTTTTGATCCCGGTGCCAAAATTACCTGATAAGGTCTGAAACATGACACCACAAGAGCAAAACTAGCGTAACATAGCTGCAAGGATGGAGCAAACCAAGACAAATGGTGCAAGGCAAGGGGTATAAAAGTGTGTAAATCTATCTCGAATCAATATTAATTTATAATAAAAGTTATAATTTACATACCTTGAATTCATGCTTATGAATGTGTATGAACTGATCTTATGAATTGAATCAATCTTCTGTTTGTTGAATTCATGTATAGGGGTAAATATTGGGGTCGTGCTCAAATGTGGTTCACTAAGTAGGATCCTCCTACTTACTATTTTCCTTCTTGTTTCTTTCTTGCTTTGATGTTATCGAAGTGAATTGCATGGTTGAGGATCAACTTCTAAAATGTGGTTAGGTACAATCTTGAATGAAGCTAACTATGCGGTGTTTATTTTTTGCGAGGTAAAGCTCCTCATTTCTAGAAAGTAGGAGAATAAGTGGCAGCCTGGAGAATACTCCACTATAAGGAGCGAGATGGGGCCCGAGGATGATGAGCACACTTATGAGGGTGAGTTAGAGTCTATGTTGGCTGACATCCTAGAGTTTGATCATGTCTCCTCTAGGAGGCATCCTTTTCGAGCTGTAAGAAAAATCAACCTCCATTTTCAACATATAATGAGGAAGAAGAAGAATAGGAAGACATCATTCTAATTCGAACAATATACAAATAAATTTTCATTGCACAACCACTTGGTGATCCTCCTGACACGATTCTGGCCACCCAGAACTAGCCACAATTCTATAATACGGTGAAGTCCAAGGATACAACTTGATGCCTTGCAACGTGCATGCGACTCATGTTATAGTTATGTCAATGAAAAAATACAAACACATCGAGCAATAAGGTGGTAATCAACATCCAAAGAATAACAAGGATTAGATTACAAAGTAATTTCCTTAATTTTAAGGTATTTTTTTATAAGGGTAATTTAGGTTTGCTTTTTATAATTAAGTGCTACTTTAGAAATTTGAATCTAAGAACTCCATGTTTAAAACCAGTGTTAATACCACTCGACCAACTCCTTGTTCACAATTTTGAGGTTTTTTAAAATGAACTAGATTTGGCAAAAAATCCCAAATAGAATGACTTTTTAAGGTGTAAAGGTTAATTAAATTCAAAATATAAAATTGGTAATTTATCAAAAACAATTTGGTAGTAAATTTTTTAATTTTTGCTAGTAAATGGTATCTAAATTAACAAAATGAAGAATTACACATTGCCACAATGTTCTTACTTATTTTACCTCTTACTAATGATGGAAAATTGTTAATAACAAGAAAACCTAATAATCAACTTGCCAAAAGTCTTTGTGACCATGAATGTCAAGAGATTTTGACATTGGAAATAAAATAAGTGTTGATGATAATTGACCCCCAAAGAGAACTCATTCCTTTCATATTTTCACACTATAAATATTCAATATAGCTAGCTGGGAAAGACTCTCTTCAGGCCAATTCTAGAACAAATCTGCCTTTATCTCTTGTAAGGGGAAGAGTGACGGACACGTGACGCTTAACTTTCTCGCAAATCAAAAGAAGAAGAGAGCGAGGGATAGTGCTCTGTAAGTTTGTCTTTGCTTTAGTTTGGTGATTAGCGTGATTGATTGACTTTTTTGATAAATCTTGATGTTCGGGGAAATCCTTGTTTAAAGTTGTTGCTCGCTTGTTGGTTAGATCTCTATAATTCACTTATCAAATTGACAAAAAAAAAAAGAAGGGAATTCAGAAAACCTTGTGCTGCTAAGAGCGGCGAGAGACTCAATTTTTTTGTTTCCTCTCTCTATTTTTGGCGGTATATATTTGCAAATGCGAAGAAGCAAAATCTAACAAATATCCTCATCATTTGGCTTTAGAGCCTCTCCCTTCCCTCATTTCTCTCATTTCTAAACTGTCAGCTCCTCGTCTCTCTTCTTCATCTATTCTCCTTTATATGTATCTCTCTCTCGTCCACAAATAATCTCTTTACGAGGTAAATTTTCTTCCTTTACTCTTTATTCCATTAATCCAATATGCCCCTTTTCCATATATTGTTTTTCGGAAAAAAATATGTCATTTCTCGCAGATTCATAGTTTCGTTCAGTGATTTTGCGATGTAGTTTTGGTTTAGTTTTACAGTGGTCGTTTGTTTTCAGTATGATCTTGGAGAAAGGAGTAAATTTGTGGTGTTGTGAATTTCCAGATCTGTGTTTGATGGGTTGCGTTCATTTAGTAATTATTATAGATCTATTTACTATGATTATTTTGTTTTCTCTTCAAATTTTTGTCAGATGCCTCAAAAATTGTAGTCCTTTCAAATCGAGATTTGTTTTCTATGGTGATTTCAGTTATTAAGTCTTCTTATGCTTTCAATTAGCTCTGTGAAAATTGAATTAGTTCTCTTATGATTTGAGAATTTCGGGCTTTTGCATTATCAAGTGGTTGTTATGTAGTGATATAATCATATCAATAACAGGTTTTTAGATTAACAAAGCATTTTGATATATTTATTCTGGTTTCAGGAAACTTTCCTATAATTTATAAACAATGGTGAAGATTTGCTGCATAGGAGCAGGTTACGTTGGCGGTCCAACAATGGCCGTGATCGCACTAAAATGCCCCAAAGTCCAAGTTGTGGTCGTCGACATATCCACTCCTAGAATCACTGCTTGGAACAGCGACCAACTTCCAATTTACGAGCCAGGCCTTGATGATGTGGTCAAACAATGTAAGGGGAAAAACCTCTTCTTCAGCACCGATGTAGAGAAACATGTCGCCGAGGCCGACATCGTCTTTGTCTCAGTCAACACCCCGACAAAAACACAGGGCCTTGGTGCCGGAAAAGCTGCTGATCTCACGTATTGGGAGAGCGCTGCTCGCATGATCGCTGATGTATCCAAATCAGACAAGATCGTGGTGGAGAAATCCACAGTCCCCGTGAAAACAGCGGAAGCAATCGAGAGGATTCTAACCCACAACAACAAAGGAATAAACTTCCAAATCCTCTCCAACCCTGAATTCCTGGCTGAGGGTACCGCAATAAAAGATCTCTTCAATCCTGATCGTGTTCTCATTGGTGGTCGGGAGACTTCGGGTGGACAGAAGGCGATTGCAGCACTGAGAGATGTGTATGCTCAGTGGGTTCCGATTGACAAAATCATCTGCACAAATCTGTGGTCTGCTGAGCTATCAAAGCTTGCTGCAAATGCCTTCTTAGCACAAAGGATATCATCGGTCAATGCTATGTCAGCACTGTGTGAAGCAACTGGTGCTGATGTCACGCAAGTGTCACAGGCTATTGGGAAAGATACGAGAATAGGTCCCAAGTTCTTGAATGCGAGTGTCGGGTTTGGTGGGTCATGTTTCCAAAAAGATATCCTAAACTTGGTGTACATTTGCGAGTGCCACGGACTTGCTGAGGTCGCAAACTACTGGAAACAGGTTATCAAGATCAATGACTACCAAAAGACGAGATTCGTGAACAGGATCGTTTCGTCGATGTTCAATACTGTGTCTGGGAAAAAGGTTGCAATTTTAGGATTTGCATTTAAGAAGGATACTGGAGATACAAGAGAGACACCAGCAATTGATGTTTGCAAAGGGTTGATCGGTGACAAGGCAAAGATCAGCATTTATGATCCTCAAGTTCAGGAGGAGCAGATTACGAGGGATCTGGCATTGAAGAAGTTTGATTGGGATCATCCAGTTCATCTCCAGCCAATGAGCCCAACCTCAGTGAAACAGGTTGCTTGTGTTTGGGATGCTTATGAGGCCACAAAAGGAGCTCATGGGATTTGTATTTTGACTGAGTGGGACGAGTTTAAGTTGCTTGATTACAAGAGGATCTTTGATGGGATGGAGAAGCCTGCGTTCGTGTTTGATGGAAGGAATGTCGTGGATGCTGAGAAGCTGAGGAAGATTGGGTTCATTGTTTATGCTATTGGGAAGCCTTTGGATGCTTGGCTAAAGGATATGCCTGCAGTGGCTTAGAACAAAAAACAAAAAGAAACACCAAGGGTGGGGGTGAAAAGAAGTTACAAAGGTCAAACCTCTTTTTGTCATTCTTTTACTGACATGTTTCTCTTTTTATTTCAATTATGCTTAGTGTTGGGATTAATGTTTCCTTAGTGCTTACATTGTATTGTGGAGGATTTTGAAACATTCTGTTTTTGGAAACCATGTTGTGCTAGTAGAAAAATACCATTCAACATTATCTAGTGTTGTTTGTTACCTATTGAATAAAATGAGAGGTTCATGTTATAGTTTAGTCTTAATATTTTGTTTCTTTCTAGTTCCATTATTTTTTTTCATGCTCCAAAATATTGGGAATGATATTGAATTAGCTCGCATCTATTTAATTCAAGACATCCCACCTTGAAGGACTAAAAGTAATTTCTAACATCATTCACAATCCCCATGCCTTAAAAATGATATTGTATTGCACTAACTACGGTGTCGACTTTAAAATAGACAAGTTTTTTTGAATGGTTGTTGGAATGTTGGTATGCTTTGGAGTGACTTGAAAAGAGGAGAGTTGATGCTGTTAGTTAGAGATTAATGCTAACCAAAAGGAAAAAGGACTAACTAGACAAGCAAAAATAGGCCAAATTGAAGGTTGTGTCTTGGCTTTATCTATATAATAATAGTGATAACTTTCTTTGATTTTCATTATTTACATGTAAGCACGTGTAATGTGGATGTCCATTATGCAATATTTTTAGCATGAGTAGATGTTAAGCAAGCTAAAATTTCATTTTGTTGCTCAAATAGATTTATATTTGGACATATTGGAGGACTAAAAATAAATAAATTATTGATTGTCTAGGACGGAAGGACTTATGTAGTTGGAATGTTTCTTGTGTTGCTCGATTACTTTGGCTTATATTAATGCAAGGAGGTAGCTTTTGGGGTTGCATGGATCAATCAACATATGCTCAAGAGAGGGATTTAAGGGAAGCAAGAAAAAGGCTTGTGGTTTGGGGCCAACCTCACATTGAACCCGAAGTAGAAGTTGAGGAGGAAGTTGATTTTGAAAAAGTGGTTGAAGTCAAAGATCTTGAGATGGTGAATGAAGCTGCACAAGATGGGGATGTAGGAAGGACTATGGGGTATTATAAGACTCCACCGGTGGCAGACATCCAATTAAACATCCTATACCTACGTGTGGTAGCTAATAACTTCGAGATCAAGACCGGTCTCATCACCATGATACTAAGCAACATCCAATACCATGGTCTTGAATACGAGTCACTAAGGGATCATAACAATCAATTCTTTGAGTTCACGGATGGTTTTACAATTAACGAAGTGCCACAAGGTGCTATTAGGTTGAGACTCTTTCAATACTCCCTAAGTGGCAAGGCACAAAGTTGGTTGAACAATAGGCCCCTGCTCTAAATAACATATTGGGATGACTTGTTGACCAAGTTCACGAATTGGTATTTCCTTCTTTCCAAGAAGGCAGAGTATCAGAAGAAGATCACCCACTTTGCTCGAAAGGATGACGAGACCTTAAGATATGCTTGGAAGTGCTACTCCAATCTCTTTGTCCAAGGCCCACACCATGGTTTTGGTGAGCATTTTTAAAGAAAGAAAACCGATAAGCCAAAATAAGTTAAACAATCGGTCACCATCGAGCAGTTGAGGCTAACTCCTCCAGTGGAGAAGGGAGTAGAGGAGCTGGTCAAGTGGCTCTCGATGAAGAATGGTCGGCCATCTTGCAAAGTCGGCTTCCCGTGAAGCAGAAAGATCCACGCAGTTTCACTATTCCTTTTTTATTGGTGGCATCTACGAAGGGAAGTCATTGGCATATCTAGGGCTAGCATCATTATGATGTTGTATATACTATTCAAGAAGTTACAGCTAAATGATAGATCTATCATGCACCCTAAGGGGATAGTCTAGGATTTACTTATTAAGGTTGGGACGCTCATTTATCTAGTTGATTTTTTCATCCTTGACATCAACGAAGATGTTCATGTTCCCTTATTTTGGATATACCGTTTTTGGCCATTGCCAATACCTTTATATATGTGCATGGAGGAAAGTTGATATGGAGCGCGGGGGATGAATATATTACGTTCTCTATTATGGATAGTATGAAACACTCCAATGCGCATGATGATGTTGATTATTGCGATGTGGTATCGGATTATGTTGTGGAACTCGCCCACTCGGGTGCTAGTTCTAACGATTACTTTGAGAAATGTTTTGTGTTAGGTACACATGGCTTGGAAGATCTCCAGCTGGAGGATGATCTGTCAAGCATGGAAGAGGTTCAAGAATCGGCACAAGAACCAAGGGTTGAGACATTACCTCCATCTAACAATATTCCCACTTATTTGGAAGGTCCCTCGGAGTTGGATTTAAAGTTACTCCCTATCCACCTTGAGTATGATTTCTTGAGAGAATGATGCAAACTTCATGTCATCATTAGCTCTGATATCACTCCAGAACATAATGCAAGGTTAGTGGATCTCTTGGAGAAACATGAGAAGGCAATCGCATGGAAGATCACTAACATTCGGGGAATCAACCCTTCTTTCTACTCTCACAATATCCTCTTGGAGGATAATTTCAAACCGGTCCAACAACCTCAATGTCGGATGAACTCTAACCTGGAGGAAGTGGTGAAAGCATAAGTGATCAAGTTGCTAGATGTTGGGATCATTTATCCGATCTCAGATAGTCAGTGGGTAAGCCATACGCAATTGGTACCCAAGATGGGATGTATGACAGTTGTGGAAAACGAGAAGAATGGGTTTAATCCAAATAGAACCATGAAAGAATGGCGGCTGTGCATTGTTTACCGAAAGTTGAATGATGCCACTAGAAAGGGCCACTTCCCTTTATCTTTTATCAATAAGATTCTTGAAAGGCTAGCAGGGTACGCCTTCTATGGTTTCGTGGATGGAATGTCAGGTTACTTTCAAATCCCTATTTCCCAGAAGATAAGTCAAACCCAACCTTCAAATGTCCTTTCGGCACCTTTGCATATCGGCGCATTCCATTTGAACTGTGCAATGGCCCGATAACATTCTAGAGTTACATGGTGGTGATTTTTGAAAAACTGGTGGGGGAGATCATGGAAGTCTTCATGGATGACTTCTCAATTTTTAGGGACTCTTATTCCCAATGCCTTGGCAACCTTGAGAAGGTTTTAACAAGGTGTGAAGAAACAAACTCGGCTCTTAGCTGGGAGAAGTCTCATTTTATGGTTCGATAAGGAATCATCTTTGGTAACAAGATATCAAAGAGAAGTATTGAAGTCGACAAGGCAAATTTTGATACCATCAGCAGACTTCCACCTCCAACTTTCGTCAAGGGGATTCGAGGCTTCCTTGGGCATGCAGGGTTCTATAGACAATTCTTTGAAAACTTCTCAAAGATTGCATTGCCATTAACAAAACTTCCCGAGAAGGATGCACCATTTGTCATCACAAAGGAATCCTCCACGAAATTTGACATCTTGAAAGCAATGCTCACAAATGCCCCAATTATGGTATCACAGGACTGGAACTTCCCATTTGCATTGATGTGTGATGCAAGTGACTATGTAGTGGCAGGGGTGTTTGGGCAACAGAAAGGCAAGTAATTTTAACATATATGCTACGATTCCAAGACTTTGTGATACCAACTAAAATAGGCGTTATCTAGCCTCTATTCTCAAGATATTTGCATGCTAAATCTCCGTGTCTAGGCCACATATCGAGTTATTTATGCCCATTTTCATTCCTATTTGCAAAACATGCATTTGGCATAGGTATTCTTGATTTGAAGGTTTTCATAGGGGAATTGATTCGGGCCTAATTGTACACCTTTTATCCCCGTGTCTCTTTCGCGTTTGTGGCATTTGAGCTTCTAAAAGGGTGGTTTTATACTAGGCATCTTGTGTTTCAATGTGTTTCAGATTCTAACAAGTGTACCACAAACCATGAACTGAAAGAGCGCCCAGAGGAGTTTCAGAGGTTACTGACGCCGAGGCAGTTCACGATCGTAAGACTGTGTTCGTGGTCCCGGCCTGATGATCACGACCGTGAACTGGGACCGTTAACTGGGAGCGATCTGTGTATAAATTGAGATCTGAAAGGAAAAAGAAGGGGGAGCCCAAAAGGGAGAGAAACCTTCTACATCTTCTCGAAACCCTAGAGAGAGAAAGCACGACCCAAGAGGGAGAAGAGGCTAGGGTTTGCTCCAAGTGAAGATTTTAGCAGTTCCTCTTCAAGAGAGGATCTCTACAAGCACAAGGAGAGTTGGAGGCATAACAATGATGGTTTCTTTCTTCTTCCTTTGTGTTCTTCCTTTGTCTAGCATGGAGTAGTTTCCCTTTTCTCTTGGGTGTTAGAACCCTAACTTTTAGCATGTAACTGATTGTGTGGATTGAATGATTGTGTGATGGCGGTGTTTAATTTAAGAATTAATGTATTTTTCATGGGATGTGCATTGTGTGTGCTTGGCAATCTATTGTGCTATTCTAACCTAGCTTAGAGAGAAGACCCCTTATCTTAAGAGGCTCAAATTGAGATGGGTTTTCTTAGGCATTCCATGCCTCCTAACTAGGTTAATGAAGGGCAAACCTCTAACTTGAATTAGACACCTAGGTTAATTGTGATTATGTCGTCCAAACCTTGGTATGAGGGAGATGGTAAGTCAACCCTCAATTGCTTGGGCCAAGAGGGATACAATTGTAGCCTATAATGTTTTCCTTGTCCTAACAATTGAGAGGATGGTTTCTAATCATTGTTGCACCTCCTACGAGTCACAATTGCCTTGTCACACACCGGTTCATTCGATCCCACGGTTCATGGTAGTTAGTTAGGGGGAAGCAACTCCGAGTGAAGCTTCTCACCCACATTTTTCCACCCTTTTACTTTTCAAGTCTTGCTTTTAAATAGTAGATTGTAGAGATTTTAACAAACAACATTCCGCTAGATAATGTTTCAAATAATTGAAGTAGGGATACATGGTCTGGCCTCGGTTGATATTTAAAC